ACACATTTCTCTAAGTGTCGCTCTTCCAGCTAAGTTAGATTGCTCCTTTCCATATTTCTTTAACCTAAAGAAAACTGATTTCAGTTCCAAAATTTTTTTTTGTGCTTCTAACTCAAATGAAATACACCCTTTACTCAGGTGATATACTCTGTGATATACTCAGGTGATATACTCTGTTATATACTCAGGTGATATACTCTGTTATATACTCAGGTGATATACTCTGTGATATACTCAGGTGATGTATTCTGTGATATACTCAGGTGATATACTCTGTGATATACTCAGGTGATATACTCTGTGTTTTACTCAGGTGATATACTTCTGACTCAGTTTCTATATGATCTATACGTCTGACACTGGGGCGATACTGAAAATTTACTTTTTACAAAACATTGTCTCATAAAAATGATTGTTAAAACATTATCATATTATATTCTAAAACGTGTATGGTGTTTAGTTTTCTTTACTTGATTTATTCATTTTATAAGAAAAAAAACGAGAACAAATATAATAATAATAGTAATGGTAAAAATGCTCCTTTTCTGTCTTTACATTTTCATAATTAGTTCTTGCAAATTTATTTATAAAATTATTGATACCGAGAAACTTTAAAGAAATACTTGATTAGTTTCAAATTCTTGGAATGACTGCTTGAGAGCAAACACGAGACAAATGATCTCAAGAATATAAAATATATCATTATTGGTAATTGAATGTTTGACATAGATTAATATTCGAAGACGAATAACGATAATTCAGTTAGTTCAAAGTTAAAACAGTAATCTCATGCCCAGTTCGTTAGATTTGAAGCAGAAAGTAATCTAACATAAATTATATTATTATTATTTACAAGTATATTAATGAAGAAATAATGTTGTAAAGGGTTTTGTATACTACTGGTATATGTTAGGTGTCTGTATACTACTGGTATATGTTAGGTGTTTGTATACTACTGGTATATGTTAGGTGTTTTATAATACTGTTACGAGTTAAGGTGTTTGTATACAACTGGTATATGTTAGGTGTTTTTATAATACTGATACGAGTTAAGGTGTTTTTATAATACTGGTATATGTTAGGTGTTTTTATAATACTGATACGAGTTAAGGTGTTTGTGTACTACTGGTATATGTTAGGTGTTTTTATAATACTGGTATATGTTAGGTGTTTTTATAATACTGATACGAGTTAAGGTGTTTTTATAATAGTGGTATATGTTAGGTGTTTTTATAATACTGATACGAGTTAAGGTGTTTGTATACTACTGGTATATGTTAGGTGTTTTTATAATACTGTTACGAGTTAAGGTGTTTGTATACAACTGGTATATGTTAGGTATTTTTATAATACTGATATAACTTAAGGTGTTTGTTTGCTACTGGTATAACTTAAGGTGTTTGTTTACTACTAATATAACTTCAGGTGTTTATATACTACTGACATAACTTAAGGTGTTTATATACTACTGACATAACTTAAGGTGTTTGTATACTACTGACATAACTTAAGGTGTTTGTATACTACTGACATAACTTAAGGTGTTTGTTTACTACTAATATAACTTAAGGTGTTTGTTTACTACTGACATAACTTAAGGTGTTTGTATACTACTGATATAACTTAAGGTGTTTGTTTACTACTAATATAACTTCAGGTGTTTGTATACTACTGACATAACTTAAGGTGTTTGTATACTACTGACATAACTTAAAGTGTTTGTATACTACTGACATAACTTAAGGTGTTTGTATACTACTGACATAACTTAAGGTGTTTGTATACTACTGACATAACTTAAGGTGTTTATATACTACTGACATAACTTGTAACCATGTAAAAGTTAACCGTTTTAGTTGATAACCTCTAGTTTTTGGTTCAGGTTTTAATACGGTTTGTTTACTTTTGGTTAAATGGTCAGATCCAATTTGCGCAGATAAAACACGGAAATGTTTGAATTTATCCAGTGGTCATCCATACATATATTTATCTGTCTCAAGTCCCCAATTTTAAACAGATTCAAAAATACAATTGTTATGTAAGTGTATGTTACAAATTTAACGACTGATGTAGATATGTCTGTAGTTTTGTAACACTGAGCACTACATAAAATCGAAGTTAGTATGGTATATGTATTTACACGTGACAAATCAATGGTTGTGGGAAGATCAATAAAGAAACATACGTATATATATACCTTTCCATTGATGGCTGTTCTACGAACCCTTTAAAACGATGTTGATTAATTTTCAAGTTCTAAAAGTAATTCTAGTTCAAGGGTTTCTCTATGTTAAGGATTCAAGTGTATGCCTTAAAAGTATCAGTACTGGGTTTTGACCAACGTGGGTATCAAAACCAGAATTTTAGAGTTATAAATCCTCCGACTTGCCGCTGAGCTAACTACTGGGGAGGATGAATCGTTGATAAACATTTAGGATGCAGAAACGAACTTTGTGATAATAATTTATTTAATGAACAACTTTAAAATGAAGTGGAAAGTTTCATCGCGATGAGTTAAAAAAGTGTTAACTCTTTTCATGCTTACATTCATTCAAGTCTAATGAAACACTTAGTTTTATCACAAACTGGAGCCCTTTTGATATTTAGTTCCTTCAAAGTGAATGACAGTACTTGAAATTCAGTTAATCTTATCAATTGATCATCGTTTTGATATCTGTGATGGAAGATATTTGATGCACGTTAACTCTGTTCTTTCGCTATATTTATATATATACAGTTTCCAGTTTACATGCTTCCTACAAGTTTGATCTCCTAAAATAACCTTCACTATTTTCATGAGTATCAGTTCGTTTTCACGTTGAAGAAAGCCATAATTCAGGACTATTTTAAAATCTGCAAGCGAAAACGTGTAAGGGAATCCTCAATAGCCTCGGCACTTGAAATTATGTTAGGCAGGATTAGAGTAAATTAATCTATGAGATCTTGGGCGTAGTCAAATATATCATTCGAAAGGGTTTAAGCTCCTGAGTCCAAAACTGTAAATAAATCTCAAATCGGTCAAGAGATGACGGAGTTATGAGCTAAAAGTTTGTACTTGAAAACCTCAGACCCGTTCTATGAGCCGATATGCCGCGGCTAGTAAGTTACAGCTTATATTTACTATTAAACCTAACAAACTTGAATAAATGTGTACGTTTGGTTTTATATAGATTTATTGTTAATCATATATAGTGGTACATTTTTTTCATGTAGAACTTAATTGTCTAATAAATGACAATTTTTACTTGATTTTATATAAGTTTGTTATGATCTAATACAAAACCATCAAATAAACTTGTTTCTAAGTAGACTTAATTGGGATCTAATACAAGACCACCGAATAAACCTTGGTTCTAAGTAGACTTAATTGGGATCTAATACAAAACCA